CCCAAGGTCGGAAAGATTGCGCCCCCGCCCTTGGGTATTCGGGCGCGCATGCCGGGGCCTAAAGTGTCCAGCCCGGGCGCCACGGATGGGGGCGACGACCCCCCATCCCGGACTTCGAGGCGAGTATTCGCAACCAGGAGCTCGCCCACGCCCCAGGCCTGCTTTGAGGAGTTTTACCGCGGGTTAGGCGTCGGGCCTTGTCTCTGGCCCCAAAGGATGCGGCAGGGGATGGTCAGACCGGGGGCACTTCTCACGAGAGGAGATGGAGGCGGCGGAGGAGGAGATGCGCCGGGCCCATAGTATTGCTGCGTATGGGCTTCAGATCTCTCAGCTAGGCGAGTGGTGCTGCGACGATTGCCTGGAGGGCTATTTGGGGGGGGGCTTTGGCGACTACTCGGAGCTGCGCAGAGGGAGAGCGCCGTATTCGAGTAACCCCTGGATAGGGCGTGCCCGCGACTTGTCGTGGATGCGCCAGGGGCCCATCGCGGTGACGCAGAGGGAGCGGTTGCTGGCGGAAGAGCGCGCGGAGGCGGCGGCAGCGCGGGCGGCGCGGGGGAGTGGGGGGGGTGGCGGCGGGCGGCGGTCCCGCGATGGCCGGCGGCGGGAGGCCCGCAGCGCGGCAAGGTGGGCTCGGGGGGTGGAGTGCGACGAGCGAGCGATTGAGCGCGCTTTCGAGGGGAGGGGGGAAGAGCGGCCGGCCAGGTGGGCCGGTCTCTTCGACGGCGCCTAAGGGGTTGCCGTCTGCTGTGCTCCTTTTGGTACCTGTGTCGAACCTGTGTCGGTGAGAGAGAGTTGTTTTGTTGAATTCTTTATTTGAAAGGAAGAAAAAGCTCCTCCTTCGCTGTCCCATCTCCCCACCTCTTTCCCGCCTGGGCGGGGCGGTGGGCGGGCGCGCGGTGCGGCGTGGCGTGTGCGTGTGTGCGTCTGCAACGAAGGACCGCTCGCAGAGGACCATTGGGTTTGTACTATTAACAACGAAGGCGCTCTCAAAAAAAAAAAAAAAGAAAAACGCGGCCTCAGGGTGATGGAGGGCCAGGGCGATGTGGCGGTGCTGCCGCCAGAGGGAGCGGGGCTGGAGTACCCCGTGGACGCGGGTGGCGGAGAGTTCCCGGGCGAGGGCGACGAGTACGCCTCGCACGGCGGGGACGAGGTCTGCTGCCCTGCCCGGCCGGCTCGCACCCCGCACAGCCTCGCTCTCTCTCTGGTCGGCCTAGCCGTGCCTGACTTCCGCCGCACTGCTCGCCGTCGACCTCCGCCACGCCTTCCTTCGCGTGGCCGCCGTCTCCTCGCTCATCCGCCGCCGCTCTCCTCCCTCGCTGCGGACAGGCGCCGTCGCGCAAGGCCGAGGCGGCGGCGGCGCGGCCCGGCGACTGGGACTGCCACAAGTGCGGCGCGTACAACTACGCGTTCCGCGCCGAGTCGTGCTTCCGCTGCAAGGCGCTCAAGCCCGCCGAGCCGGGCGGCCTGCCCGCGCCCAGCGGCGGCCTCGCTCCCAACGGCGGAATGAACGGTGGTGGAGCAGCAGCCGAGATGCGCCGAGATGCGCCGAGATGAGCCGAGATGAGCCGAGGTCGGGCGAAACGTATCCGGGGGCTGCGGCGACGAGCAGGCGGGCCGCGCAGCCCTGTGAACGGCGTCTCTTCAACCCCCCCCCCCCCTTC